TCTGTCTGTCTGTCTGTCTGTCTGTCTGTCTGTCTGTCTGTCTGTCTGTCTGTCTGTCTGTCTGTCTGTCTGTCTGTCTGTCTGTCTGTCTGTCTGTCTGTCTGTCTGTCTGTCTGTCTGTCTCGTCTTTCTGTCTGTCTGTCTGTCTCGCCTGTCTGTCTCGTCTGTCTGCCTCTTCTGTCTGTCTGTCTGTCTGTCTCGTCTGTCTGTCTGTCTTGCCTGTCTGTTTCGTCTGTCTGTCTGTCTGTCTCCTCTGTCTCGTCTGTCTCGTCTAGCTGTCTCGTCTCTCCCATCTGTCTGTCTGTCTATAACTTAACAACCACATCACAGGGTTATTAACAGAAGCAACGAGTACGCATAAAAAAATGTTTCAGAGTATAAAATTACGTTAATGGAGGATCTATTTCATAGAAACCTGAATTCTCTTCAGTGGGGGTTCACAAGTTTCTGTTTTTATGTACATCGCGATCTTATCAGATTGTTAAGAAAATTGAACAAACCCACATCCCACGCACGCCCCTCCCCCCTCCTCTTACGAATTTTATGACGTTGTGTTATATTATTGATTATAAGTTAAAATGAAAAAAAAATTATGTAAATTAAAGATATGTCGTTTTTTTTAACACTACGCTATACGGATATTACCGGCACGTAATAGCATTTAGGAATCTTTTGTTTAATTTTTAATTTAATAAGATTCGGATATCTTTTGAATGCTTTAACCGATATTATCTGCTACAATTAAATTATATTGCGGTGCTGTGATTTACTCTAGCGCCGCCCCCCCCCACCTCACATTGACGTCATTATCCTAACAACCTCACCATAGCGCTACCTGGCAACCACAACACCCACTCAACCCGTTTAGACGTTACTACTCAAACCCCACCACATAATGACGTCCCAAACTTACCCCTCCCCCAAACATAGACGTCCCTACGCTATTATTACTATATCCTAACAATGTATCGCTGTCATAATTTGACCCCATAGACATATGTTAATCTACTCGCACCCTCAACTGTTCCGACGGATCTACCCTAATAGCACCCCCACCCGATAACAATACCCCTACCTTAACATTACCCCTATCTTTCAGACGTAACTACAACGACACTGTACCACCCTTTCAAGATTTCTATAAAATACCAGCACACCCCAAAATAACGTCAATAACTTTACACTTACCACCCCCCCCCCCATTCTAATTAGACGTCCCTAACTTAACACTCCCCCCATTCTAATTAGACGTCCCTAACTTATCACTCTCCCCATTCTAATTAGACGTCCCTAACTTAACACTCCCCCCATTCTAATTAGACGTCCCTAACTTAACACTCCCCCCATTCTAATTAGACGTCCCTAAACTAACACTCCTCCATGCAATAATAACGTCCCTAAACTAACACTCCCCCATTCTAATTAGACGTCCCTAAACTAATACTCCCCCATCCTACGTAGACGTCCCTAACTTACCACTCCCCCATTCTAATTAGACGTCCCTAAACTAACACTCCCCCATTCCAATTAGACGTCCCTAAACTAATACTCCTCCATGCAATAATAACGTCCCTAACTTACCACTCCCCCATTCTAATTAGACGTCCCTAAACTAACACTCCTCCATGCAATAATAACGTCCCTAACTTACCACTCCCCCATTCTAATTAGACGTCCCTAAACTAACACTCCTCCATTCTAATTAGACTTCCCTAAACTAATACTCCCCCATCCTACGTAGACGCCCCAAACTTAACACTCCCATGCGCAATAATGACGTCCCTAATTCAACACCACCAACTACACACACCCCAGCCCCCACACTACTCTACCCTAACATGCCATTGACGCCCCCCCCCCCCCCCTCCCTGTGAAATCCAGGTAAAAGACGACCGTCATGTTTCGAAGCTAGTTTTTTTTAAACCAACGTCAACTCGACAATAGCAGCTATCCTGTAACAGACGACACTGGATGTCGGCAGATCTTATACAGTGTTAACAACTGTACGACAGACAAGCTAGATCTATATAACACAGTAACGTGATCCCATCCATACAATCCATGTTACGTTGTGTATAGGTCTATCACCTTATCAAGCCGCTTGTTATTGTATGTCGTCACATCGCCTTAAACAGTAGCTGAATCAAGTTTTATATCTGTCGCATACTACATTTGTAACATAATTTTGATAATCAGTAAAATTAATAGTTTATTAATGTGTGTGTAAAATATATTCAACCAAACAATGTAGGCTAGGCCTATATTAAATGTTGTTGACTGGAATATATATATATATATATATATATATATATATATATATATATATATATATATATATATATATATATATATATATGTATATATATATATTTAATGGAATGTGTATGTGTGTAAGCAGTTATAATTGTAATGGGTATGATAAAATGTATTCAGTGTTAACAGAATTCATAAAAAAATACTTTTCATCTTTTTTTATTTTATTTTAAATTTAAAGACGATTTAGTTAATATGTTTTGCTGTCCCCCAACTCATTTCAACACTAGTTCAACCACCTTTACTGTCCACGTGTATCACGCTCATTACATACCAAAGCGTAGGATCGTAACAAAAAAGCCGACAAGGTACGAAGGCTGTCATCGACGCAGCCGTTGACAGCACACAATGTTGACGGTCGAGGCCGGCAAAGGAAAAACATATCTAGAAACTATTTTTTTTACCGTGTATTCAAATAAATATTAAGCAATATAGCCGTTTTTGTCTAGGTTTTTCTACGGTCATTTAAAACTATGTCCACATTTAAATGTTAACCAAGACGTGTGTATGTTTACGGAATATTTAAAATAAAAAGAATAAAGAACATTGCACAATATACAGCAAAAGCATGTGATTCTAAGAAAGAACCTACACATCCACGACCAATTCTCAGTATCACAGTTGGTAACACTAAGCATAAGATACAAGCCATCAAACGAATAAAAAAAAAAAATTGCAATAGTCTCATGTAACAGGATATGGCATTCTACATATATTCTATATATGACATTATATATATATATATATATATATATATATATATATATATATATATATATATATATATATATATATATATATATATATATATATATACTAGCTTATATCCGTGCTTCGCTACGGTGTGGATGGTGCTACATCTTGTGGTGTATATGGATATTCACGAAAATTAAGCCACAAAAAAACCAAAAGCCACAAGTGCAGTATTAAATATCTTAAATAAATGTTTTCTATTCTGTCTTTCTGTCTTTCGGGAACGCTCACAACAAAACACAAGGAAATTTAAGATGAATGGAGAAAGACGTCACATGGAACCTATTGGAATTTTTCAAGACCAACGAAATATGTTAAGTTCTAAAGCCGGAAAAGTACACAGAATCAAATGTATATAGACAATATATAATTTATAAAGGAAATATACACCTATACCAGTGTCAGCTCCCCTCCCCAGGATAATTCAATCGGCCTCTCGCGAATGTTTCAAGTTTCCCTCCGCCCCCCCCCCCCCCCCCCCCCCCACTCCCCGCCGGGGAAAAACGTCTGAAACTTTCTGCATGATTAAGGTTTAGCGGCCAAAAGTAGGAAACGGGTTTAGATATAGGTTATTTCTTTCAGGTTTTTTTTTTCTATCCGGTGAGTGGGGAGGGGGGGGGGGGGGGCTGAAATTTTCAAGCGACTATGTCTAGTGACTCACTATATGTCCAGTGACTATAAAATCAGTGACGTTCTATAATGTGTAAAATGGGTAAATATTTCAAATGGCCCCTAGTGATCAGAACTCTAAAATGTCTCCCAATGATTGGTACCCTAAAATGTCCCCTAGTAATCGGTACTCTAAAAAGTCCCCTAGTGATCGGTACTCTAAAAAGTCCCCTAGTGATCGGTACTATAAAAAGTCCCCTAGTAGTTAGTACTCTAAAATGTTCCCTAGTGATCGGTGCTTTAAAATGTCCCCTAGTGATCGGTACTCTAAAAAGTCCCCTAGTAGTTAGTACTCTAAAATGTCCCCTTATAATCGGTACTCTAAAAAGTCCCCTAGTAGTTAGTACTCTAAAATGTCCCCTTATAATCGGTACTCTAAAAAGTCCCCTAGTAGTTAGTACTCTAAAATGTCCCCTTATAATCGGTACTCTAAAAAGTCCCCTAGTAGTTAGTACTCTAAAATGTCCTCTAGTAATCGGTACTCTAAAATGTCCCCTAATGATCGGTACTCTAAAAAGTCCCCTAGTAGTTAGTACTCTAAAATGTCCCCTTATAATCGGTACTCTAAAAAGTCCCCTAGTAGTTAGTACTCTAAAATGTCCCCTTATAATCGGTACTCTAAAAAGTCCCCTAGTAGTTAGTACTCTAAAATGTCCCCTTATAATCGGTACTCTAAAAAGTCCCCTAGTAGTTAGTACTCTAAAATGTCCTCTAGTAATCGGTACTCTAAAATGTCCCCTTATAATCGGTACTCTAAAAAGTCCCCTAGTAGTTAGTACTCTAAAATGTCCCCTTATAATCGGTACTCTAAAAAGTCCCCTAGTAGTTAGTACTCTAAAATGTCCTCTAGTAATCGGTACTCTAAAATGTCCCCTAATGATCGGTACTCTAAAATTCGTTCAGCTGTTGGAGCACGGTATTGTGTCCTCTGATTTTAATTGTACAAAATGTCCATTGACTCTACAATGTGACCAGTAATTCCTTATATTTTCTTACCTTGTGATATTAACAATAATTCCTTATATTACTTACCTTGTGATATTTTTCCGTCCCTGTGTTCCACATGAGTAGACATGTATTTGTTTATGTCGCTAATGATATACCAACATAGCAACCGTGACCCCCCCGGCAGCCTGTTGTTCTTCTGCCCACCCGAGACACCTGGGTACGACTTACGTAGAATCCTGGTTCTAGCCATTGTTCTTGCACAACGGAGCCAACCGACCGGGGTTATATAACAGACCCGATCAGCAATAGACCAAAAGAACTGCCAAGAACGCCACTGGTTTACAAGAAACCTCTCAAGCTTAGACTGAGGGCTCACTCGTTATTTAAAAGGTAAGCCTTTTATTGTCAAATCTTGTATAATAAATATAACGGTAATTAAATGAAAAATATAACTGTCATGTTTGCCTGAGCAATTTTTTTTTCAAATTGCGATTTCCGTAGATCATTAAAGAAAAAAAAATCTAGAAAGCAATTGAAATTACTTTTAGTTAATGGCTAATTATTTTATACCGTTTTAAGTAAATTACCCGATTTTATTTCTGCAGGTAAGTTGATATAAGTATTTGAATGGAGTAAATCTGACTAGAATCTGATATATAGGCATATATATATCTTTGCAGTTACATACACGTTAAAAAGATTTCGTATTTAACTTGATAAGTTCCTAAGCCTGTTATTAAATTGGACCCTTAAATAGTCTAGGTGTTGCATGTCAGTGCTAAATATCGATATTTTAAAAAAATATCTTTCTCAAAAAAAAAGCTTGTTTATAGTTGTAGTGGAACTAGTACGCTGCATTCACCACATTCTGAAAAAAAATATAAATAGAAAGTTAAAATGCCCAACACTGTTTAAACGATATGCTTTCGGGGACCACCCATGAAACCAGGGGCATAAGTTTATTAAGCTTATACCTTAATACGGCGCTAATTATACCTCGATAAAGTATATCATATTTAAAACGTGCTTCGTATATCAACATAATACTACATACATTTACAAAATACCACTCACGATTAAAAAAGCAGTACTTACACTTACAATACACCTCCTACAATTACAAGTCTCTACTTACAATTTAAAACACCACTTACAATTACAAACTGCTGTTTCATTCCACCAATTTATTTACAATACTAAAATCCACACAAACAGCAGTTTATTTAGTAATCAAACATCCAACATTCGATATAGCACTTGTAATTAAAGTGCGTGAATACACAAGATAAAACCACAGGAATAATACTGCATTCATTTTGGCGGCCTCTCGAAATCTCATTTTCCCCGATTATATATAGCCCTACATTCACTCTCTTCAATCAGTGAGCGATCTCCAAAATCAAGGAAAATACAGTGATTGATCGCTCACACATTCACTTCCGATGGCAAGGTATTTAACCATCACACACCTTTCACCCCTAATACAATTCACCATAATACAGTCGGTTACACTCTGCTTACAATTACAAATCTCTGCTTACAATTACAAAATACTACGTATAATACAAGACGTCTCTGTTTCTTTGAAACAGTTGCAGGTGATTGGCTAAGAAAATGACGGGAATCAAGTCAAGCTTGTTGGTGATTGTTTTACTCGCAGTGTACAACGAGAATGTGACGTCTGCATCATGTACGTATAAATATAAGCAGGCACAATATAATCCTAGTGCAGGGGTCGGCAACCTACGGCTCGCGAGCCGCATGTGGCTCTTTCGATGTCAGGATGCGCCTCGCCAGTTCCATAATAATTATATTATTTATTTTCATAACTCATAAAAATAGTATTCGTAAAAACAACTTTAAACAAGATAAAATCACTAAGAATAGATCTAGGTGGAGTAGAGCGTATACTGACATCTGGCAGCTGCTTACCAGTTCCACAACTATGATGTGGCCAGCCCCGTGGCAGTGGTTCCATGCTTTTCACTACCGAAGTGCACAATTTTTGTTTTTCGAATATTTTCAAAGTAGCCTAATTGTTATTTTATTCAGAAGGCATTTTTTTTTTGAGTCCGTGTGCATTAACTTCATTTGAGTGACATAGTTTTTTTTTAGTTATCTATCTATCTATCTATATACTACTAAAACTCAAGTTTGTTTACATGTTTGAATATTTTGTTTTTGTGTTCGTCTGATTTCGTACTGTAAGGAAACTGCTTTATATGGGGGGCTGTAAAATAGTATGTAGGTAGAGAACCATTTTTCCTTTCAGACAGACTGTTAATCACACATTTATTTAGAGATTTATTTATTTATTGATTTATTCATAGGTAGATTAACCACATTAATTTTAAAGTTTTAGAACAATGGCTTATTTTTGACTGAAAAGTGACGTTTGATAACTCATTTTTTTTTAAATTTGTTATTGGGGAGAATCTGCATTATGTGTAGAGCTGTAAAATAGGATTTTGGGTGGTAAATATTGTTCCTTCTTAAACACACTGTTAATTACAAACTAATTTAAAGCCGTTAATTAATTTATTGATATATTTATTGGTAGATTAACCACATTAATTATAAAAGTTTAGAACAATGACTTTGTAATAGTAAAATGATTTTCATTTTTTTTACCACAATGTTTTCAATTATTTTTTCTTATATATGTGTATGATTTTTTTTTTTTGACTATCAGGACATCGCTAGGCACAGGCCAGGTGAAGTAGAGTCCACCTGTTTCTATGTTCTCAGCATATGAAGGGATAGTGTGGTCAGAGCCATGCTCGGTCGGAATCGTTTTTTTTAAAATACAAACATGTCTGAGACTTGGTGGGGCACTGGGCAGGTGAAGTAGAGTTTAGTAGAGTTTTTAAAATATAAAAAACGTCTTTTTGAATGTGGGGTCTGGTTATTTTGGGATGATAAATGCTGTCAGACATGATGTCATTTATGGATGACCCCCCGAAACCCACGGTTATCTAACTAGATAACGGGTAGTCTAGTTAGCTTCTAAATTGGGTAGGGATAGTCGTATGGTTATATAATTTGATTTTATTATCCTAGCAGAGCTAGGTAAAATACTTTAATATGTTTTGTGCGAAACATGCATATAATAAATGGGTTTAAGTATGAAATAATATTTATTTAAAATTCATTTACCTAATCCTAATCAAATACCATAATATTGACAACAAGTGTTAGTGGCTCTTTATAAACTGTGAGATTTTGTAAATTGTAACTTTTGGCTCTCTTGTCTCGAAAGTTTGCCGACCCCTGTCCTAGTAAACTACACCCTCGGTTATTCGCCGCCCCCCCCCTACCCCCTACCCTCGGCGTTCCCTACAATCCTTAAATACCTTAAACTTCCTACCACCGATTAGCAAAATTAGGCGGGGTCGAGGTGGGGTGGGGGGGGGGGGGGGGGTCCGTACCGATTGACACAAAACTGGGAATAGAGGTCGGCGTAGTTAGGTCGATAAAGCTCATTGATGCTGAGCGGTAAAGTCCCGAGTTCGAGCCCCCAGACAGATGAGGCTTGATAGCAGGGGACAGCAACTCTTCTAGGAGAGACAACTCAAATATTATTTAACTGCTGCCTTGTAGCAGAGGCGTAGCGAGGGGGGATATATGTCCCCGGGCGCCGACCTTAGGGGGTGGAAAAACAAATTGAAAGTTTGAAGGGGGGGGGTGCAAATCAAAAGTTCGAGGGGGGGGGGTTACACATTGAAAGTTTGTCCCCGGGGAGGGTCGAGACGCTTCTGTCTTGTAGTTTGTTCTTGGTAGGGCACAAGATATGGAGGCAGGTCCTAAAAGAAAAGCTGTCTGGAATTTAAGACAATGGGACATATAAAACCCAAAACAGTAAAGTGACACTACTACTAGAAACTATTTGAAATCAGATTCTATCGCGTGCATCATGTTTCTTCTAAACGACATATATCTACACTAAATGCGGTCAATCTCTGCTCAAAGATATCTTAACAATATGACGTAAATTTCATATTGTTTTATTCTGTGGAAAACTGCAAATTATGGCCCACAAAATAACCTTAAATAGTCAAAGTCGACTTACTTATGTAATATGTAATAATAAAAAAATTAAGTTGAGTGAATTCGAAATTTCGCAGTATTATAATGGTAATACAATTTAATTAATTCGCTATATTGTATTATTAGAACTGCTAGGAAATGAATTTGAGTGAATTCGCTAGATTGCTGAATAAGATCTATTGATAAAAAAGTTAGTCGTATGAATTCAATTAATTGCAGGTTTGAAAATAAATATCAAAATATTGTTTTTTTTATAGCAACAGATGCAAGCTCAACAGATGCAAGCTCAACAGTTGCAAGCTCAACAGATGCAAGCTCAACATCTGCAAGCTCAACAGATGCAAGCTCAACAGATGCAAGCTCAACATCTGCAAGCTCAACAGATGCAAGCTCAACATCTGCAAGCTCAACAGATGCAAGCTCAACATCTGCAAGCTCAACAGATGCAAGCTCAACATCTGCAAGCTCAACAGATGCAAGCTCAACAGGTGCAAGCTCAACAGCTGCAAGCTCAACAGATGCAAGCTCAACAGGTGCAGGCTCAACAGCCACAGGTACAACAGCCACAGGTACAACAGCCACAGGTACAACAGCCACAGGTACAACAGCCACAGGTACAACAGCCACAAGTACAACAGCCACCAACACGACTGCTGACAGCTCAGCTGTGACTCAGATGTCGAATGTTTTGATTCTCTCAGTTCTGCCCACTGTTGCCTTTCTGCTACACGCCATCAAGTTTTAGACGTAACACTTCTCTATTCCCACCTTTCTGACGTCACCAAGCTATACCAGCAAAACGTCTCTATTCCCACCTTTCTGACGTCACCAAACTATACCCACAACACTTATCTATTCCCACCTGTCTGATACACGTCACCAAACTATACCCACAACACTTCTCTCTTCCCACTCTTTTGATTCAAGTCACTTTAACAACTGAAACACTTGTCTACCTTTAATACTTTTAACATTAACCCTTGTTTGGTTGCTAATAATTTATTTTAAAAAATGTGTTACTGTTATTTTTATATTAACGTATTAATTTTTAACATAGTATTTTTATTGATGGTGTTTTAATTGAACATTTACCACTAATGCATTGGAGTAAATATTTCTGATATATGACTTCATACATTTTGACACGAACCAGTCATTAAGCTGACTGTTAGTTTATGTTGTCTTTCTGTTCCTGAAGTAGTTGACTGCTTGATGACGGAGCAGATGAAGGCAATAGTGTCAAACACTTGTTTAGTAGTAAATGTTGCCAATTTATATACCATATTTTGGTTTATTTTAATACTGAATTCTAATGTGTGGAAATGTAATACATTTTTATACCTAAATCCTAACTCGATAAACGCGGGTCGTATTGTAAGAAGTCGAACGATATGAAACTCTAAACCAAACATTTAAAATCTCAAGCAAGTAATTGTGTTTGTTACTCTGATTAAACTTGCACATATGTATTATTTTTTTATTATTTTATTTTTTGTTTAATTAAAATATGTAATAAAGACTATAAATAATACGCATTAAGATTTTGATTTACACCAATCTTGATTTCGTAAAACACAATTTTGTTTTTGAATAGCCTATGAAGTCCAAATGAATGTATTTTTAATAATGACATTTCAATCTTTTTTGTTCTGTTTTGTTCTGCAGAAATAACAATAAAATTATTAACACAATGTATATATGTTAGTTCATTTTCTTGTATTTAGTCGAACGTAGATAACAATTCAACATTGACGTTAACTATTTTAACGTCTACGCTATTTCACACACTGTCAAACAGTGTTAAGCTTTACGAAAAAGCTGAAACATTTCTCTCACCCATGTTACCAGCTAGACCCGTGGGTTACCACATTTCTCTCACCCATGTTACCAGCTAGACCTGTGGGTTACCACATTTCTCTCACCCATGATACCAGCTAGACCCGTGGGTTACCACATTCATTTCTCTCACCCATGATACCAGCTAGACCCGTGGGTTACCACATTTCTCTCACCCATGTTACCAGCTAGACCTGTGGGTTACCACATTTCTCTCACCCATGTTACCAGCTAGACCCGTGGGTTACCACATTTCTCTCACCCATGTTACCAGCTAGACCTGTGGGTTACCACATTTCTCTCACCCATGTTACCAGCTAGACCTGTGGGTTACCACATTTCTCTCACCCATGATACCAGCTAGACCCGTGGGTTACCACATTTCTCTCACCCATGTTACCGTGGGTTACCACATTTCTCTCACCCATGTTACCAGCAAGACCCGTGGGTTACCACATTCCTCTCACCCATGTTACCAGCTAGACCTGTGGGTTACCACATTTCTCTCACCCATGTTACCAGCTAGATCCGTGGTACTGCACCTAATGACAGGCCCAACCTATGAGATCCGAACCCTGTACGTTCGAGAGAACTCGCTCGCGGTTACCTTTAGACCACACTACGCAACTAACTTCTGCTAAACCGTTCCAAACTACATACACATTTAAACAACCAGGATTAAAGGTCTGAATGAACACGTGCGAACAAAATCTAGTGTAAACTTCTACTATGATAAGACCTGTTTACAAAATGTATTTCACTGAATGCACACACACACAAACACACGCACAAATACACACACACTCACACCACTATATCTCTAGTAAATAGCCTACATTTTGGGTATTATTACTTTGAAATACACCACTACTTAGTATAGTTAATAGACTACGGCTAATTATGTACTTGTTCCCCTCTTGTCGATCATTAAATAACAGTGTGAGAAAATTGTACAGTTCGTTGGTACTCCTTGGATGATTACACGTGTAAGAATTCAAAGCGAATTAATAACAATTATTTTTAAAAAAATAAGTCAGTCACGAGTTATAGAAATATAACAGTTCATCTTTTTAAAACTATCTTCCATTGTTTTCTTTCCACCTGGTAACAACTTAGGCTAGTATGATAAATGGTAGAGTAGGATCCATCAATTACTGAGATCCGGGCCTTTGATCTAGATTCTAGTGGATGAATAAAAGGTTGTTTATACAAATGATAGTGTGCTCTGCTTCTATAGCTTCTGTTAATAGCTTCTGATTTTATGACAAAATGATTCATCACGCTCATAAATACGACACATTTATTTAACATAGTGAGTCACAGTTTAGGTATATATGTGTGTATATATATATATATATATATATATATATATATATATATATATATATATATATATATATATATATATATATATATATATATATATATATGTATGTATATATATATATATATATATATATATATATATATATATATATATATATTTATATATATATATATATATATATATATATATATATATATATATATATATATATATATATATATATATATATATATATATATATACAATGCCGAGTATATATGTGTTAACTTACTTTTATATGTTATTTTTAAAAATGTTGCATTAATTTACATACAGACACACTAAGTTTATAAAAACACTAAACGACTTTTACCTGTGTTTTTTTAATTTCTTGTATTGATTGCAAGCCATGTGTACCCGTTACACCTGAATTATAGCCCTACAGATTTTAATGTTATTCTTGTTTATTTATAAAATAGTTATGGTCAAAACGAAATGTGCTTTACTAAACGTTGAACAACATTAGTGACAATGCAAAAAATAAATAAATAGCTAAACATCCGACACATTTCAAATAAAATCGGCTACCAATACCTATTAGAAAAATTAAAACCAAATTATATCCATTATTATTCAAAAGAACACCGTATTAAATGCACACGCTGATTAAAAGACTTAAATGATTCCGTTAAAAATCCGACTATTTAATGGTCTGTTTGTTTGTTGTTTTTTTTAAAGTTATTCGCAATAGTTTGAAGAAGAATATATATTTCATAGCATTCGTCTTGATAAGTAGATCTATAAATCTAGATCTAAATCAAATTCGAATGAAATAGTTCTTTTCTTTATATTCTAAAATCGGAAGATGACGCCATTACATTTGTGTTCTTTCTATAGTGTAAACATGTGGCATGTGACGTCATTGTTTGTTGCGTTCTAGTCACAGCTATAAACACTGTTCCGGTTGTGTATTTAAAATTGTGTTTCTACATTTATTTTTATTTTCCTTCTTTAAATAAAATTTAATTTATACATTTAAAACATCTATCATATTATTTTCAAAAAGGCCGTATCAAGTTCTCCAGATGCCGCTGAAGATACTGATATCACAGCTTTTGAAAATATTTTGCTGACAGAGAGAGAGAGAGAGAGAGAGAGAGACAGAAATGCGCACATGGGCTTTTATATATTAGGATATACTTTCTAAAAAGTTTATGTAATTAAAATTTGATTAAAAACATGTCTATATCCCCAGTTGCCATCCCCCGTAGTATTAATACTAATAGTTTCGCTGTCTCTCTATGTATCTATCTATCTGTCTGACAAGAACGCTCTAGAGAAAACACAAGGAAATTAAAAACCTGCATAGTAATTCGAAAAACGAAGTATGACGTCGTCACATTTAGCATAGAGTTGAAAATAATCTCAAGGCGGAAAGTGCACACAGTAATATAATGACGTCATTGATTCTCGCGAAAACATTGAATAAAGAGGAAATGTTGTCTAATCTAAGTGGTTTGCGTGAAGAGTTTCTTGCATACAATTCTTCGGGTAGGGGCGAAGCCCCACCCCCCGCGTAAGAACGTCTGAGCCCCTCCCCCTCCCCAACTCAAAAGAAATTTCTTTATCGATACTCTATAATAAAATTACCGCCTAATTAATGTGTCTAATCTCAAAAGTGGTTTTCTTGCAATTTCTTTAAAGCAATTCTTCGGGTAGTGGCTAAGCGCGACACCAGTGTTTCTTTCAGACTTTTTCCTCCCCGGAAAGGGGTGGGGGTAATTGAAATTTTCGGGGGCGGGGGTAGAATTTTCGGGAAGGGGGGCGGACACTGAAAAAAGTATATAATTATATTTCGTTGAATGGGACGGTAGACGTGTTTTTTTGGGAGTGGGGGGTGGGGGGTGGGGGGTGGGGTGGGTGGGGGTGGGGGGGGGGGGTGGTTTCCTCATCGATACTCTATAATAAAATTACCGCCTAATTAATGTGTCTAATCTAAAAAGTGGTTTTCTCGCAATTTCTTTAATGCAATTGTTCGCGTAGTGGCTAAGCGCGACACCAGTGTTTCTTTCAGACTTTTTCCTCCCCGGAGAGGGGTGGGGTACTTGAAATTTTCGGGGGCGGGGGTAGAATTTTCGGGGAGGGGGCGGACACTGGAAAAAGAATATAATTATATTTCGCTGAATGGGACGGTAGACATGTTTTTTTGGGGGGTGGGGGTGGGGGTGGGTGGGTGGGGGTGGGGGTGGTGTGTCTGGGGGGGGGGGTGGGTTGGTTTTAGTTTAGAGAAAAGAGACAGCACTATCAACCTAGCGCCCGTTGTATCCTTCCTCAACGGGCCATTTTTCTCGTTAATACTAATAGTTTCGCTGTCTGTCTATCTATCTATCTATGTATCTGACAAGAACACTCTAGAAAAAACACAAGCAAATTAAAAACATGCATAGTTATTCGAAAAACGAAGTATGACGTCGTATAGTAGAAAATAATCTCAAGCCGGAGAGTGCACAAAGTAATATGACGTCATTGATTCTCGAGTAAACATTGAATAAAAAGGCAATTTTGTCTAATCTAAATGGTTTGCGTGAAGAGTTTCTTTCATACAATTCTTCGGGTAGGGGCGAAGCCCCACCCCCACGTAAGAACGTCTGACCCCCCCCCCCCTCCCCAACTAAAAAGAAATTTCTTCATCGATACTCTATAATAAAATTACCGCCTAATTAATGTGTCTACTCTAAAAAATGTTTTTCTTGCAATTTCTTTACTGCAATTCTTCGGGTAGTGGCTAAGCGCGACACCAGTGTTTCTTTCAGACTTTTTCATCCCTGGAGGGGAGGAACCTTTTCTAATCTAATAAGTGTTTTGCGTGCACAGCTCTTTTCATGTATCTCTTCCGGTAGGGGCGAAGCCCCGCCCAGGTTCTTCCTTTAGTTTGTATGATCTACAAATGCGACCAGTGTTTTTTTCAGACCTTTTAGTCCCCGGAGAGGGGTGGGGGTACTTGAAATTTTCGAGGGCGGGGGTAGAATTTTCTGGGAGGGGGCGGACACTGAAAAAAGTATATAATTATATTTCGTTGAATGGGACGGCAGACATTTTTTTGGGTGTGTGTGGGGGCGGGGGGGGGGGGGAGGGTTGGTTTTAGTTTAGAGAAAATAGACAGCACTATGGAAGTGCAACACGATGATTTAGATACATTTATAACCAACATAGCGGTTCGTTTAAAGCCGACCATTCATTGGTAAACATGAATATTTAGTTTCAAAGTTTGAGAAACTTTTTCGGTTTCTTAACGTCTAACTAAATGATCACGAGTAACACCATATGGGAAAACTATTCGTTCTGGTCACATTGTTGTCTACATAAGTCAGTTTTAAAATAATTACATCGTTTATGTTTCCTTGTCGTGAATCACGATTGTAAACATCAAAATGTAAATTTAGCATTATTGTCTAACTACGATAGTGATGTGGTATATAAGTTAAACAAGTCGATTATTTAAGTATTTACTGAATACATCTACATCAGTAGCGTACGCAGG